CACCCGCGCCTTTGACACCATCAATCCATACTTCTTGAAGATAAAATTAGAAGCAATGGGCATTCGAGATCCCATACAATCTTTCATTTTATCATACATGACCGGTAGAAACCTAAAAGTTGAGGCCAATAAAGAACTTTCAAAGGAAAAAATATTTCCCTTGGAACTCCTCAAGGTGGAGTATTGGGTCCTCTGCTGTTTTTATTGTATATCAATGACCTACCTCTCCACATTAACAAAAGACAAGTCTTCATTTATGCAGATGATTAAACAATTATATTAACTGCTAACGATACATTTGACTTGATGAATGATATATAACTAGTAGTGAAGAACTACACTCAAGGTGTGAGAGAAATCACCTCATTAATAATATGGAAAAAAAGGGCCTTATCCAATTCAGTAGTCCTCAAAAACACTTCAACAACATGAAGTTCAACTTAGGCTACACTGATATCTTAGCATCAGAAAGCACAAAATTCCTTGGTATGGAGCTGGATTTCAAATTAACTTTCAACAACCAAATTGAACTTTCATAGAAACCACTTGAATAACATATATTACGCTCTTGTCTACATGGCAATCAGCTGTAATATCATTACATGGGGTAGGTCAACTGAAGTATCACGAGTGTTCATTATACAAAGACGATTTATAAGACTCATTTTTAGCATGAATTACAATGAATCTTGTAGAAATACTTTCAAACAGGAAAATATTCTAACGTTCCCGTGTGTTTACTTAATATAAGTTCACTCCTTTTATTCAATGACTAAATACATTGAGTTGAATATTAGAACTACATCCAATGACCGATAGACAAATTTTCTACACTTTTAATTTGTTTTATAACGACCTTCTATTTTATATTTTCAACAAGTTTCGACCTCACTGGTATACTATACGAGCGTTTATACACCTACACCAAAAATTATGGTTTAATTGTCTGACTCGCACATTGATCTCCTTCCTTTGTTTGACCTTTTAGTTCATTTCATTTCATCATCCGATGCAGTGCACCTTCTATCAATATTATTTGGCATTTTCATTATCTAGTAAAATAACTATTACATAATCGTTATTTATAGATAAGTCTCTGGCGGGTTGACGTTGATTATTTTTTATAAAGGTGACTTGTCACTAATCTATGCTTATTGAATCAATTAAAAAACGATGTTTTCCAAGACAGTTCGGTCTTTATGAACATCGAGTTTGCGTGTTGCAGTTCATTTATAAAATTAAATTGAATGCCTATAAATCTTATGATACGAAGGCATTTTAAATAAGGCNCACTCATCATTTGACGTTCAACACTGAAATGAACAACGAATCAAAACTGGCATATTATTACGCTTCCACGTTTTTTATGAACTGGTATACCAGAACAGATCAACAATCCAAATGCACAACTCAAAAAGACCACTCTACAATAATTCACTGGTTCACTTCGCTTGCTATCGCTGACGTTAAACTAAAATGACCGACAGATTAATTCTAGCCATTGTATGGCGAAACACGTGTTGCGTTTTTGTAAAACAATTTAGTGAAAATCTCACAATAAAGTGTTTTTGGAATATGTTAAAAAGAAAGTTGGTTCAAAAACATATTTTGTTATACACCTACTTTAGATATAACTTGGCGTAGGCATGTGATTCAAATCATTGACTACAATTTCTCTATAAAAAGTAGTGTTCAGACAGACCTTTGTGAAAGAAAAAAAAGTGCAACTAATGTATCTGAAAATAAGTGTGTCGATGAGAGATGTAGAACCAAGAGCTGTTGTACAATTGTTGAGAATATATTGAAAAATCAAAAAGATGATTTAGTTTTAAGGCGGAGTGAATGCAATGTATATAAAAATGTTGTATATAGTGGGTAAATATAATAATTGTGTAGCATATTCACTCAAGTGGGGAACACCGCATGTAAATAGGATATCAACAAGCATGGAGTGGATGTTGAGTTGTCTTTGAGGAATGACGTTGAATACGCAAATAAACCATTCAAAGTAGTGTTAGTTGTTTTGCTCAACTTCCCCAATTCCAAGACATCACAATTACTCTCGTATTCAGAGAAACGTTACGTCTCCCCAAGACTTTCGCCTGAGTTTCTTTTGGATTCACTCGGATCTTCCAGTCCAGATACCAGCGTTCGAGGACATCCAATGCTTGTTGAACGTAGATGACCCGCAACTCACGACCTATGGAAGAGGCGAGGAGATCGGTATCATAGGCGTAAAAGAAAACCTTCACGTGGTCGAACCTGGGAAGGTCGCTCACGTAAAGGCTATACAGTAGTGGAAACAGCACATCCCCCTGTGGCACTCCAGCTTGGACAGGGTTCCTTCAATTCGGACCTGAAATGTTCTGCCTTTCAGAAAGGACCTAATCCACCGGACCAGGCCGCGAGGCAGGTCGAAAGGGAGCAATTTGTGCAGAAGGCTTTCCTGCCAGACTTAGTCGAAGTCCTTTGAAATGTCAAGAAGGACAATATACTGTCTTTCTGTTATTCAACTCAGATATGGAGTTCTCGAACAGTCTCGAGTCTGTAGTTCGATGGAGTCTACCCTTCTGAAGCCGAATTGTTCGTCAGGCAGAAGATTTCTGTCTTCAACTTCTTCTGTCAGCCTTTGCAGCACAACACGTTCAGCCAACTTGGCCCTTGAGCACAGCAGACTAATTGGAAGATGATTCTGGTAAGAAACGGGTTCTGGTGCTGTTTCGGGATCATGATGATCACGGCATGCTCCCACTTTTGGAGGAAGTATCTGACGGCGATTAAACTGTTAATGATGTTTAGCAGATATCTGATAATGTTCTCAGGGAGCTGCTTCAACAACCTATTGTTGATTGAATCAACTCCCGGAGTCTTCTGGGGCTTGATGGCTCTTATGTATCCCTTAGTTCTTCCTCCGAAGCTGGACGGATCACGTCGTCATAATTTTCCCTGAGGATGCGCCGAACCCGGTATTCCAGCCTGATATCGCAGTCAATATCATCGTTAAGTTGGAACTGAAGCTCCATTTATGTCTGCAAAGACCAACGCTTTCTCAGCGGGGGAGTAGCAGATTCTTTCTCGCACCGAGCACGGTAGTTCGCAGTGTTCACGTCCTTGCAGTTGTTGCACTTTGGCGGGTCAATACGTGGTTTTTTGCATTCACCTGAAAGATGTCTGCCGGCGCACTTGACACAAATGGGGACTGCCAGACAATTACGCTGGCTACGTTGCAAATCTCTGGCAGCGGTGACACTACCCTGCCAACGTTTTTTGATGTTGTGGTTCAACTCTTACTTTGACATTGACATGTTTTTCTAATTCTGGCTCACTTGAACCAAAACCAGAGGTAGCGGATGGCTTCCTCGCATCATCCTGGTGACAGATGATGGTTGTAAGCCTTTTTCGATAAGAGCATCGTCAATGTCAGAGGACACTGGATGATCAGGTACTCCTCTGAAAACTACTCCAATCGTCTGCCTTCGGAGGGGTGTACGTCCTAGGGAGGGTGTACGTGTGGCGGGAAAACTTTTCCCTAACCAACAGTTTAGACATATTTCGGTAGTCTTCCGCTGACGAAGCCTGCACCTGAATGCCGTCTGCCAAGTTGACCGCCTTGGAAAAATTGGATTTTCTCAAAAGTTTCCAACTTGGAAGATTCCATTGTTAACAATTCAGATTCAGAATTGTTATTCCGGGTGTCGCCTCAGAGTTTTGTCGCTCTTTTAGCCGATTTTTTCGACTTTTGCTCCAAGTTGACCGCCTTGGAAAATTTGGATTTTCTCAAAGGTTCCCAGCTTGGAAGATTCCATTGTTAACAATTCAGATTCAGAATTGTTATTCCGGGCGTCGCCTCAGAGTTTTATCGTTCTTTTAGCCGATTTTTTCGACTTTTGCCAGTGTTTTTTGTCACCGAAACGTCAGGTTTGGTTGGAGAGGATAAAACTCTTCCGGAAGTCTACGCTTTTTGTTGGCCGCTTCCTGTGGCCTGATCGAAGCGGTTCTGTCCTCTAGATGTTCGGAGTGGTTTGAGCCGGCTGAAGTATTTTTGGAGGTCTCGTTCCGCGACGGATCTTCGAGAAGCTCCTTGACTCCTTGCAGAATATAAGAGGGTTCTCGAACCGCCGCCCCGGGATTACCCTTCAACAGTACTGATGGACTCGGACCTAGGCGATCAAGTAAATGGCATATAATCCCAATCACTTCCCTCCTACCTCTGGCAGTCTAGCAGCTCCTCCACACTGCTACTAAAATCTCCCCCTCGAAGACTCGCAAGGGTTGGCGGATGATAAATCTTGTTTAAGTCTGAATGCACTTACCAGAAGGCTTGGAACGTATTTTCACAGCACAACAAACGCACACACTATATGAGAGAGAGATTACACCTGCCGAATTGCTGATCATCCACCAGAAATCTGTGCTTATGTGGAAAAACACACAAGAAAGTACAAAAACATCCTTATTGATCGGTTGCTAGAGACGCTTATGTATCATTTGTATTGTTGTGTGCACTGAAATATAACTGGATACTTACAGTTACCCCCACAATTTACAGATTATAGATTTTTCAAATTGAGACCTTTGCATATGATCACTTGAAATGTTGATCACTATCAAAACATGCCTCAGCCTCTGCGCTCAAACTGCAAAGAAATATCTTTCACACAAATGTTTTTTGAATCTTTAGGTATATCTTCTGTTTTCGAAAAGTTCGAGACATTAAACACTTATTTTTCTTTGGAATGAATCACAAAAATACTTACTTCACTATGTATGGAATTACCAAAGCAGCCTGGGTTCTCATATTTTTGTCTCCTTTCATCAAAGCATGTTCGAAACTTCCATGGGCTGGCTCTGAATTTGTTACGTAAAAAAAGCACTGTAGAAGTTTGTCAGCCCAATTCTCACGAGAGCGGGAGAACGCGTAATTGACCGGGGTCGACAGTTCATGAATTTGCTCAATAATATTGGCCTGGATCAAAGAGGCAAGGTGGGCAGGACATTTGAGAATTTCGTTCAAATAATCTATGATTTTCATCGGGTAGGGATGCCCGTGTCTAACATACAGGATACTCTGCATCATGAGAATGATCAATTCTTGTGAGCCGAGTTGAGGATTGGCGGGATCGATTCTGCGGTAGTTTGAGATGAGTTTTGTTGTAACACTGATGAGAATTTCCCTCATACATGCTATCCCATGACGAAAACCACCGAGGAATAATCCATCTAAAAAGAATATATTTGAACGGCACATTCGTCATATTTCTTAATTATTTTCATTTCAATAACGGTGCTTGAAGATTTTGTAGTAAATTAACCCAAAATATCTTTCCCAGTATTAATCATCATTCAAACACTCTGTAATTGAAATCTTATTTTTAAAAAGAAATAATCAAACTTTCTTGACTGTTGAAATCAACTGTTGAAGAAAATCAATGCGGAAGTCGATAAATGTCTTCCAAGTAAAGCCCTCAATAGATAGAAAGAATATTAAGTTGATTTTTGATCGAGAGAAGTATAATTTGATAGATTTCACTAATCAAGAAATGAATTTCGAGTGAAAGGTAAAACTGAAACATGACTTGAATGAATTCAGAACACTGCACATGGAATCCAGATTTGCAACACCTCTGTATCCAAGTTGGCATCATCAGGAGATGAACTATGTTGTAATTTATTTGTGCGGGAGCAATGTTTGAGATGAAATTTGAGCAGTACTACAGTGTCTTGTTTTCATTTTGTAATGGGAATATATTTTTTGAAAGGTTTGTTTTTTGAGTTGGTAGAAATTGAAAGTTATGTGCTCGGTATATTGATGATACAATATGTAAATGGAAAAAGAAAACAATTTCGAGTTGTTTTTTGTTCTGATATGTTAAGGCGGAATATCATGTCAGTTCTCACTTCTTTCAGTTTCAACAATGTATCGATTACTGAGCTGAAGCAATACTCATTCCAATATTCCTAATCACTTATGAACACCGCACCGAACACCGTTATTATGGTTAATTAATGAAACTATAAGGAATTCAATTTTTTCCAAAAGGCAGATTCTTTGAAAACAATTATTATAATTGCTCTCAAAACAAATTATTAGTTTTCAAACCAAAAATAATTATTTTTTCGTGTTTGCACTTCATCTCCTGGGAAAGCCAACTTGGTTTGTGAAACGCGCATCGAAAAGTGAATGGTAGTTCTGGTGTTTGGGAACAGTGCTTGTCTTGGATGTATTCTACGCCAGAGCTTCCAGTTATATCATTCTAAATGATTCCCTTAACTAAAAAGTCAATCATCGAATATTTTTCGGAGTTTTCTGGACATTCCATTATTTTTTTGTATATGAGTCGACAACCATAATTATTACCTCTCACTACCCACTACTTTTTTGAAATAGTCAAATTAGTATTATAAAAATGTTAAGTGAATTTACTAACCCATGACCCATGCAGGTTCGTCTCGTACTCCCTCAAGCCAAGTATCTTCGTCATATTGATTTGTCGCAGATTCATCGAGCTAGAAAAATAATAAATGAAAATAATGTTTCAAAAACAAATACATAATACAAAAGTATTGAAGAACGATATATCATATTCAGGGCTTCTTAATTTTTTTCATTCACGACCCCATAAAAGAAAGATAAATAAATATTTT